AATAGAGCAGGAGTTGCATATATTGTTGAATCCAAGAAACATGATGGGGAAAATGTCAGACCTGATAATGCAGGATAGGAGACTAGAGGAGCAGAGAGACCCTTATCTGAAATAAGACATAATTAAAGTAGGGAGGGGGTAAAAGAAGGATAGGAAGAAAAGAAATATTTCATAGAATTTTGCAACAGATGACTTAGATTTTTAATGTCTGAGTTTTTGAGAGCAGGAGGTTATTTTAGTCTCAGCAACCTAATCAAGAGTTACTCCTAGTAGTAGCAGGTTATCAGAAGCCCCTTTCTCCCTTTTTATCGGAAAAATAGATTTTTAGGCACCCCACGATTCAGAGGCTTTTCCAGAAAAATTTAGCTCAAGGCCATATTGTAATAAAATGTGGTGTTTGAAACCTAGAGATGTCAGATAATTTCTTGCAAAACTGATGCATTTATTTGGGGAATAAATAAGCTCAGTACAGTCATTACTGAGAGTGCTCAGACTTTAGTTTCTTTCTTACAGATAAAAAGGAAGGAAAACAACTTCTTTTCAAATATCATGAAGTCAACAGTGAACACCTCTCTGTTTCTTCAATTTATTCCTCAAAATATACAGAGAAAGAGAAATAAACTTCAAACATACTATTTCTATGTAGTCAACCTTCCTCAAGGAAGTTAAAAACAAAACAAAACAAAACAAGATGCCTGCATTCTGAATGATGTATATTCAAACTGTTAAATTTTGAATGATACCCAACTCCCCTCAATCCCCACAGCCACTTTCCCTCTGACAGCAAGATCATTCTATTAGTCTCTCACATAGAACCCTTATCTTCTGTCTCACCCTTCACTAATCCATTCCCCACAGCACTGGGAGAGGTTGTTTTAAAAGCCTGACCTTGCTTTCTTTACCTTGCATTTGCCCATACACTCTGTTTTCTCCTGCTTCCAAGACTTTATGAAATGCTGTTCCCTCTGCCTGAACACCTCCAACTCTTAGCCACTTAGTAATCTTCTCCTTCTCTTCAAGTGGTCAGCTTAAGAGTGACTTCTCTGTAAGTGAGCAATCCATTTTGATTTTCTCCAGGCTAAAAATTAGGTGTTCTTTTTATGTTCTCATGACGCTGTGTATCCCCCTCTACTCTAGAAACTCACAGTGATTCTGTAATTGCAACACTTCTAATTCACTAGTGGACTGTGAGATCATTGAGGCTGGACTATCTATGTCTTATTGATCTTTATGATCCCAGCTCTTGGCTAAACTCCTGGGCACATCTGAGGTACTCCACAAATTTATGGAAATGGATCCATAAAGTTATCCTATAATAAGGATGGCTTATATTATCAGGGATAAGAATGTAAAATCTGGGACAGCCCATACAACCTGAGATCTCTGAACAACCTAACCACAACCACTGAAAGAAAAAAAAAATTGGTGTTGAGCTTTATTTTCCTTATGTTTCTCATTTTTAATATTTCAGGTTAGTGTGAGAGCGAAAGTCAAGTGACAGACAAAAATTTAAGCTGGGTAGTTAAACAGGATTTCTCAGACTATTGTGAGCTACATTTCTTTAAAATATATATATATATATTAACACTTAGAGTAATTGATATGTATAGCAAATGATATTCACACCATGAGATCATATAGTTTTAAATTTTATACAGCAAACATTCTCAGATCACTTTCTATATACCAGATACTGTTCTAAAAATATCAATTCATTTAATTCTTATAGCAACCTTAAGAGGTCATCACCAGATGAATTTGGAACATTTTTTTACTGCCTTATGATATTGGGTTGACTCCTTTCCTTAAATCTAGCAGAAAGATTTTAATTAAAGAGAATAATAATATCTACAGAACTAAAAATTCTTTTCAGGTGTCTAAAAAGGTATCAAAATATCTAAGGAAGGAGATCACATCAAAATGAGTACTGCAATAGTTATCTCAAAAGGTATTTGCAAAAGATAAAACAATAATAATTTGAACATTTGAGTGGAATTTTTACATGGCATTGGAGTACTGCATATTTAAAATAAATCACCTGATCAATTATGGAGAGAGGGAAATGGAATATTAATAGGATCAAGATAAATCCCAGCTTGTCACAACGTAAAGCAAATAATAGAACAAAATCTTGAAAATAGTCTCACTTCTCCTTATTTAAACTTGGTAAAGAGTGATGATTAATTGCAGATAGAAGACTTAAAAAGAGCAAAGTATAGACAAGTTGAAGAGCCACAAAATGTAACCTAAGGTCACTGAGTAAATAGCACACTGGGTCCATATTTATGAATTGTCAATAAGAAGGAATTTGCAGACATTAATGAGTATAAATTCATACAAAAGTTGCAACAACTTTTCCCATTTGGAAAAGAATAGTATATGAAAGAAGAAAGTACAGATATTAATACATCAGAGGAACACATTATACATAGGATAAAGTTAGCAGAGTTGTATCAATGAACTTCAATGAAGCTACAGAAAGCCTGTTTGTCAAATTTACCAATGACAAAAGGTTTGGAGAAATGGCTCATGCTTTGGATAATAGGGTCAGTATTTAAAAGGATCTGGTTAAACCTCAAATTAACAAAATTATATTAATATGTGCATATTTCATTTAGATATCCTACTTACATGTCACCTCTTCATACGGGCCTTTTTGATTATGTATTTCTAATACGGTCTTTGGGATTCTCTACTCACTACCACTTCACCCTGTTTGGTTTTCATTATAACACTTAGCTCTTACTCATGCTTTTCTTTTTTAGATTTTATTGGGGAATTGGGGGAGGGGAACAGACAAGCTGTTGTCCTTTTGTTCTTCAGTCTAGTTGTGAAGGATGTGGCTTCACTGGCCCATGTTGGTATTATCATTGCATATTTTCCAGGTGAGGCAGGTCCGTCACTAGCCACTGGACGGCCCTCACAGCCTCTCTTAGCAGCTCTCGCCGGCAGCCAGCCACTCACGGTAGCTTATGGGAGCCCACTGCAGCAGGGGGCTGCGACTCAGCAGCCCAGCTCCAGATGGAGCTGTTGTTCACCATCTTAGCTGCAGAGGGCAGTGTCACTGGCCATAATGTGGGATCCAAACCGGGGCCCTGCTGCTCAGAGCTGGCATCCCAAGCCAGCTCTTAACCAACATACCACTCTGCCGGCCCTCCTAATGTTTTTCTTATGTATCTATTGGTTGATTTGTTTTCTTTCTAACTTCACTAGAAAGTAAAATGCATGAAAGTAGTAACTTTGTTTAACCTAAGTGGAATAGGAGAACTAAGTCAACATTTGTCAAAAAAATAAAATGCCTATTTATTCCCTTCTGTTAAAAAGAAGTTTGACTACAGCAGAATGGGAAAATACCACAATAACATTTGTTGTGAAATATAACATGTAGAATAGAAGCACCCAGCTGGGATCAGAAGAACTGGATGGTTCTGCCACTAATTAGTCACTTGACCTATGGTACATTATTGAATTCCTCCAGGAACAGTTTCCTCATCTGTAAAACAAGATTAATGATAGCCCCTCAGAGGTTTAAAAATAATGTGTATAAAGGAGTTTTGTAAACTATAGTGTACAAAACAAATGTGAGGAATTATGATTGGGAGTGGGGGTGGGTGGTTGAGCAAATGCTCAATATGAACCAACAGTATATTGTGACTTTTGAAAAAATAATTAGGTACAAACACTGGTTGCATCCAACTAATAGCAGATATTTTGTACTGGTAAGACCCAAACCAGATTACTGTATTTCCTTTCAGTTACATATCATGCAAGATATTGACAATTGTCTAAAGGAAGACCAAGCATATATAGTTTATGTAGAGATAGTGAAAATAACTGGAGAAAAAGTAAACAGGGAGCATGGAAAGGGGAGGGGGCTGTGATGCTTATTTTGAATATGTGAAGAATTGTCACGTGGAAGATTTATTCCATGTAGCACCAAGATGCAAACTATTAATAGGAATTGGGGGTAAAAGACTAAGAAAAACAGATGCTGGCTTAAGACCTTGATTTAATGTAAGAAAGAGTTTTCTAACCTTTACCGCAGTCCCATGATGATGGAGGTAGTGAATTATGGTGGTCACATCCAAACCAGGTGGGAGCATATCCGCAATGTTATGTGAAGTTCAGCCTAGGTGATTCCAAGGTCCTTCCCAAGTCCAAGATTACAGTCAATCAAATGTGATATTCCTATCACGCTTATTGAGAATGAAAGGATTCTGAACACTCCCTCAGACAAATCCCAACATACTATTCTTAGAGACAAAAATCAATACATGAGAGAATGGCAGGTGATATGAGTCCTGAGTCAATGAGAAGACAGAGCAGCCTGTGGTATTCACCAGAGAGCACGTCTGCTTTCACAGCTGCGTCCTACCGAGAATCTGTTCAATGCTGTTTGGTATGTTGTTGTCTCCTTTGCTTGACACCATGAACTATGAGCGCATTCATGACCCTGGGTGTCCTTCAAGAATTTGTTGCTGTATTTCCTAGACACTGGCTGTTGCAAATACAAATGCCAGCTGAATATTTATTTCAATGCAAATAAGTTCTCATTCCGTTTTGGAGGAGGGGAGAGGAAGAGAGCCTTCAAGACTCAGCAAGTGCTAAACTGGCAAAACCAAACACGTTAAAATATTTACCTGAAATGACTTTTGCGTAGTCCTGCCGGAGGAACCCAGAGGCTCCGCCTCATTCCCTGTATATTTATAATATAGAGACAAATGCATCAACAACTCCTATATTAACCAAGTGTGGACATGTTGTCATGTCCACAGACCTACACACGTCTGTGTATGGTTTATAGAGACTGCACGTGAGAAATGGGAGAGGGGAAAAAAGTAGAAAAGAAGCAGATTTAAGCGACAGAGAAACAAGTTAAAATAATTTTCATGACTTTCCCCCACCCCCTGCTTCAGCTTGGGCTCTCCCTCCGCGGGAGGAGGAGGCTGTGGTCTGCGGACTCAGTGCTGGAATGAGGAGCAGTTGAGCTTGAGCCCAGCTAGAGGTAGCTTCTCCCCGCGGTGTCATTGCTGCAGCCTCCAGTGCCCGGTCCCTAGGTCCCCAGCCGCCGCTCTGCCCGGTGCAAAATCGCCTGCAAAGGCAGCCGAGCCGCAGCAGAAGTTGCCGGGCATAAGACTCGGGAGGCATTATTGGCTCAGTAACTTTTCACGTCATTTTCTGCTTTGGAGCCCCTTCTGTCCTCTCCGAGCAGCCTTTGCCACCGCGAATTATCAGTGCTCATGGGGCAGGGGAAGAGCAGCTTGCAGCATTGAGCGGAACCGGACTCGAGCCCGTGATGTCCGGCACCAAATTGGAGGACTCACCCCCTTGTCGCAACTGGTCATCTGCTTCGGAGCTGAATGAAACTCAAGAGCCCTTCTTAAACCCCACCGACTATGACGACGAGGAATTCCTGCGGTACCTGTGGAGGGAATACCTACACCCGAAAGAGTATGAGTGGGTCCTGATCGCCGGGTACATCATCGTGTTCGTGGTGGCTCTCATCGGGAACGTCCTGGGTGAGTCTGGTCCCGGGCAGTCCTCCAAAGGACTGGAGCGTCCCCTCCGCCCCCAGGCTGCGAAGACTCTGAGACCCCTCCCTCCCCCTGGGATGCAAACAAAGAGGTCGTTGCTCTCAGGGTGGGGTTTTTCTATTACAAAAAAAAAAAAAAAAAAAAAAAAAAAGAAAGAAAAGAAAAAGAAAAAGTTTTCTGATTTTAGGAACCAAGACTGAACCCCAAAACGATGCTTCCTTTTTTCTGCGGGGAGAAGCGGGGAATTGCGTTTCTTTTTGGGCACCTAGGTTACAAGAGCAAGGAGAGGGGCCGCGACCGGGATCTCCAGGTGGATTTTGAGTGTGGGGGAAATTAGTCATCCTTTTGTGTAACGTGGCTGGGTGTTTCCGGGGTTTGGGAAGAGGTAAAGCAGGCAGATTGCAAAGCTGTGTCTCTAAGGAGCAAGCTTGCTTATGCTGTTGAAGTCACAAAGGATTTGTGAGCGAGGTTAGAGTGACCTTTGACAGGAGGTTTAGGCTCTGTCTAGAGGCGGTCATGAAAAGAAGACGGAGAGTGGAGACACAGGCAAAGCAGGAAGGTGCACTCATGCACTGATGCTGAATTATATCACAACCGTGCTGGGATCAAGCAGGAGGAAGGAGGGGCATTTGAGAAAACTACCAAAGACACCCCAATCATTCATCCATTCATTCATCATTCATTCATCCATTCCATCTCTCTCTATATATATATTTCCAGAGCGTGCTTGTTGCCAGGCTTGGGAAGTATTGGTAACTGATTTCTTTCTTCCTTTCTTTTTTTTCTCTCAAACAGGAGACCAAGCTTAACGCTAGGCTATCTCTATTTGTCCCTGTCTAGGTTTGCATGTAAACATAAATTTCCTCCCCACTCCCTAACTCTGCATACTTTTTGAGGGTTGGGCAGAGGATGCAATAAAGATTTGGTAGCTGTAGTGATGCAGTGTATTAGGGCAGCTGAGGAATCCACTTAAAGAAAAGGAGCTTTGGAAGGGAGAGACCGGCTGGGCTTATCATGAATTGTGAATGGAAGAAGCATGTACCTTGATGAATGGAGAGCGGGAGGTGTTTCAGATGCAGAGGGCAGTGTGGAGGGAATCACGGTGGAAAATGGCAAGACGGGGTGGGGGAGGTGAAGAACAAGTGCTCTCGATTTTCAGTTATTAAAAGGGAAGGAGATGAGTGAGATGAGACAGGCTAGGGGACTTTGTAGTCCAAAGCAAATAATTTGTAGCTGCAATGGAAAAACTTACCAGGCTTTCAGCACCACCCTCATTTTTACCTTCTTTCCCCAAATGTGTCAGTCTGGGCAGGAAGCATTCAAAGTAGTCTCTTCACCAATTCAGCAGGCAGAGTAGTTGGAAGTATGAGACTGAGGGGCCTTCTGGAGAAAGTTGGTAGAACAGTATTTGATAAGGGAGCAAAGGCTTCTCTGAGAACTTTAGTTTACTCTTTCTGTACTATTATCAGGCTATTTTTCTTTTGTTGGGTTTTTTAAGGGTAAAAAGAAAGGGAATCCTTTGGGGATGTAAAAAAGGTGGATGAAGGTGGAAGACACATGATTTGGGACCTTTGTTATAAGAATATGTCTGTTAATAATTATGTCAAGGGTTACAACTATTGAGACACATGACCACTAGTATAGCAACTTTTCATTGCGTTATGCCAACACTTAATGATAAGTGAATGATCAAAATTGAAAATCTGCTCAGTACCTACTCTGTGCCAGACCATTTCATATACATTGTCTCGCTTAAACCTCAAAGTGACCCACATTTGATAGATAAAGAAACAAGACTTAGAGAAATGAAATGAAATGGAAAGACAGAGAAATTATGTTAAGGAACATGATTCAGATTCAATTCCATTTCTTTTGACCTCAGGTCCAGAATTCCCCATTGATATTCTAGTCTGGATCTAGGAAGCATATAAGAGAATGAATTATTTGCTCCTGGTTGTCTGCAAGCCTATTAAATGTCCTTCCTGTTCTCTTCTGTATCTATGTTCACTGTTAATAAATTACCATAAGGGGTTAATGACTCTATCATTCTCTCCAATCAAAACCTATCCAGAGAGGAATGTTAATCCATTGCAGTAAAATTTTGGCATGTTTTGCAGGAATAGCTACAAATCATTACTATTTCCCTTCTCTAATTTTCTTTCAGGCTTTCGCCCTGTGAGAAAATGTGTGCCTCTTTGCTGTTATTTCATTCTGGCTTTGCACAGACCTTTGCAAAGACCTTCATAGTCTTTATATCTTAATTGAATGGTTTAGGAGTCCATGCTTTCTAGCCTGGGAGTGTTGTAGCCTAAGAAGGAAACACCTCTACAGTAAGACAAACTTGTTTCATTATGTCAAGGAAGAGGGCACTGTCCACAGCCCTAAGTGCTGAAATGGCCAATCCCTGTTAGTTTAACAAGAAAGATTTACTCAAAGGACTCTGCTCTTAAGATACTGACAGCTATTTTCCTCAGCACGGAATGGCACTGAAATCTTCTCTGGCTGAACTGAAACCCATTCTTGACAGACATATTCCCTGAAAGTTTAGGAGGTTAAGTTTGACATTTAAACAAATGAGCAGTGTAGTTACTCACAGACCACTTCCTGCTCTTTGATGTCACTGTCAAATTTGCAAAATGGATTAGATTGAGAATTGTATTTTGGGGTTTTTGTTTGTTTGTTTGTTTTTTGCACCTCTGGTATAAGCAATTTTACTCAGAGAGTGGCAGGACAAGAAATCGCATTATTCATGTAAGATAAAGAGGCATTATTAGTTTTGAAGGTGAAATACCACAGTGTAGGCAGCAGATGTAATCACTGACCCTTCCAGTCTATTCACCATTTCACATGCATGTTACTGACTACTTGGAAAATCTCAGCCTTTTTGAACTTACAAATATAATGTACCAGTTAGAAGTCATTTCTCCCACAGTGTCCTTTTGTGAAGTGATGTAACAGGATATACCCTGAGCAGAATGACAAAGTCTTGCTCATCTCCACCTTATTTTCTTCTCTCTACAATTGCTCTCTCTCATTATATCCCCCTTCCACTATCAGATGTTTGTTTCCAGAGATGGAAAGCAGTTTCCTGGGGAAAATGTGGCATTTTCAAAATAAAACAAATATTACTCTACATGAAATTGTATAGGTATATGCGTTCTAATAAAAGACATGCATGTTTAACTATAGAATTTAAGTCGTGGGAAGGAAGATGGGACATGGTTATTTTTGGAAGCAGTGCTTTTCTAGTATCTTTAAAAGTATGCCCCATACAACCTATTCCTGAGGATATCTTGCACTATAGCCAAGTAGATGCATCCAATTATTTACCCAGTACATTTTGAACAACATTATGTTTTTAAAATTAATGTGTTTGGGGAAAAAGGGCTCTTGGGGACACTCAAAGGAACATATTTAATGTAATTCCTGCTTATTTCTTGAGCTGCAACTGGATGGAGAGATGGTTTCTAGTTAGTTCAAACATTAAGCACCTGGAAGAAATGAGCAATCCTCTGCATCTCTTACTTCTTCATTCAAAAAAACCTTAATTTTTACCTGAACTGTTTATATCTTCCCTGTTGTTGTCTCCACATAAAAAATGAGAACATTCAACAGATTACATCAGTTCAGCTATGCTTCTTCCTTCTTGTGTAACCATTCATAAGTTATTGAACTCTCCAAGTCTGTTTTTTTTTCCAGTTGAAAATTAAGGCTGATAATACCTGCCTTGTAGAAACCTTATGAAGATATATAGATATCTTATATAGATATATAGAGGTGTATACAGACAAATATATATGTATGGATGGATGCATACAGTAGATGTGCATATATATATATATATATATATATGGCCAAAAAATGTATACAAGTGGACACTTTTGTCAACATTGCTCAAACAGTGGTTCATCATAATCAGAAGTATCTGGACACTGATGGTAACCACTTTCAACATCTCTTGTAAATTTAGAAGTCAAACGTGACATGTATTCACCTTTTGTTATTGGTATATATTGAGTATTACAATTTTAATAGCTTTTTTCTTTCTTAAAATGTGTATACATTTTTT